ACCCAAAGCCATATTCTATCTACTTAAGGGGACTATAACACACGAAACGCATGAGGCTCAGTTGCTGGTAGAACCTGCTTCTGCGTGGATGGCTCTTACAGAACCCCAGCATCGGAGGGTTCAGACGTCGCGCCGAGGATATTGACACCCTGGAGTGAACCTGAGCCTGAGCTGAGTAGTAATTTATTGGGGGATACTATGGTACCCATTAAGGTTTAGGGTTTAGGGGTTTAGGGTTTAGGGTTTTATTTGGGGGTACTATGGTACCCAATATAGGGTTTAGGGCCCTATAATGGAGAATCAAATGGAAAAGAACATGGAAAATGAAATGGGAACTGGGATTATGTAGGGGTTAATTGTGTAGTATTTTATTTGGGGGTACTATGGTACCCAATATAGAATAAGATCATATCCTCCTTTTGGGGGTATAGTATTTTATATAAGGAATATAATCTTACTGGGTTCACCCTCCACAAAAAAAAACACTACTCATTTGACATCATTTGACTTAGCGAATTTGGGAGTTTCCAAAAAATTATGGTTCCTTTTCTGAAGGTCCCTGGTAGATAGTAGCTGGGTGTATATGAAGGGGGACCCTGTCGTTTGAAATCTCCCATTTGCTGACCCCTCATAGGCTGAGCAACGTGAAGGCCCTGCATCACATTGAAATCTTCTGTTAAGCCCACCACGCCCATGACCAGAATGAACTGCCCTGGCCCATGGTTCCTTCATCACCCCTAAATCACAAAGCGGAAAACAAGAACTGTAGGGAATGGAAGGGCCAAGCGATAAAGGCTATTGTCGGCTTAGAAAGTTTAATTTGAAGAAGATCTGGCTATAATACCTTTCAGATGCATGGATGAAAGTGCCTATCAATCTGGCCACCTTAAATTACAAGAAGGGAGAAGAAAATTGAAGCTGTAAAGGAAAGCCATCATCACTTCCGATGCTTGAAAGGCTTGGCCTTTAGCCTCTTGAAGATGAGTTCGCCAAACATGTGTGTGCAAAAGCGTGTCCGCAAATATTTTCCCAGAGCTAGAAGGAACGCCGGACGTGCATAAAGTCCACCGAGAGCAGCTGTCTCCGCACTGTTGGGTGACATTGGTAAAGTGTTTTGCTTGTTTGGGAAGACTCTATGAACAACGGAACGCAAAGAACCTGCAGGCGCGACATGCGCAAGTGGCGCTGTTGACCAGCTAACAAGTGCACTCATCAAGATGGTAACAGGAGTTCTGATGACAGAATGCTGGTGCCTTGGCAGCTAAACTTCCTTGCCTGTGAGCAGGACCTGGGCAGTCCATAATCAGGTTGGGTCCTGTCTCAAAGTTGACGATTTCATTTGCCTGACGTGGAACAGTTGTACATTAGTTCATCAACCTTGCACCCACAAGCTTTTCAAAAAGGCTCAAGGTAGTCAAGTAAAGCTGCTTCATGATCGGTCGAAGCATGTTCCTCGCAAGCTCGATGGCGGGCGTAGATGCCACCCTAGAGCAAGCGCAGAAACGGCAAAGACGATTCTTCATGATATGATTTCCTGCATTGTAGCAGGTAGCAGCACACAGGCTGCAGGTGAAAGGTTTCTTCATTGCAAAAATCAGGTTGTAGGAGGGCCACTGATCAGATTGACCACCGTTTTAACGCGCGCTGAAGATGGAGCTGCCTGTGGACCCAGACGAGCGGAAGGGCTTCACTTGGAGCCGGACCTTTGCCTTTTTGTTTTCAAGTTTGGTAGAAAAGGGCCCTGTGGGTTTTTGAAGGATATCTGTTTCAGGGCATGCTATAGGATTTAAAGGCGGAAGTTTGAGTACTAGAGGCGACTTGCATGCCAGGGGCGGAGTTTCCATATGTGCCAGATACTCCACCAAGACCTGTCCGGCTCATGAACAAAGAGTCTCTGCATGCCATATGCACAGCACAAACCACGGCAAAGAGTTTATTTTTCTGTTGACGCGAGCCCGCATTTGCCCAGGAACGCGTTCGCAAACGCGGCCAGGAGAGTGAGCGGCACAGGTCTCAGCCAGAGAGAGCGTCACACGAAAGGCCTATAGTATTCTGCATAGCGTGACTGTAGATTGTAACTGTAGACTGTAGACGTCTGCCCATACATCACACAACAAAAGATCCCTGCTTGTAATTCACCATGAGACTCTGTCTAGCGTGCTGTGTTGACAAGTGTGTAGAATGAATCCCAAAGGGGGCTGAGAACATTCGCGATCAGACATATCTGATGGTGAGAAAAAACTGAGTGTCTTGAGCTCTTTCTCCCTGATAGTATCAGTCTGGGGCCGATTCGAGTGGCTTCTGTGTACACTAGTGTCAGTTAGACTTACCTAAAAGCTCCCCATGTCAGCTTTGAATGGCATACAGTCCGTGCAGCAACTGAGCCTGTACATGAGGGTTCCATCAGCAGCACAATCTTTGCCAACTGCTGAGTTTCAATGTGTAGATGTGTGAGGGCCCTTCGTGAGGCAGTCCTTGCCAAGGACAGGGAACATTCACAAGTTTAATCTAAAACCCAGAGGAACTTCACATCATCCCCTTTCCTATACATAAGTTAAGCCCAATGTCCATGTCATTTTGAGTTGTTTTTTCCATTCAATTTGATTCTCCTTCGTTCAGGGTCGAACTAGAACCCTAAACCCCAACCACTACACCCTCCAACCAAAAAACAAACCAACCCTAAACCCATTAGTGCTGTAAGTTCACGAAAGCCAAGGCCAGGGCTTTCAGCGGCCCCAGGCCATGCCTGAGGCTGTTGCACTAGAGGAGCTTAATACATTATAGTATATGATAGTATACTATAGTATATTATAGTATATTATAGTATATTATAGTATATTATAGTATATTACAGTGTATTATAGCTTGAGACGAACCTGCCCAGACAGGCGTTTTGGTTTCAGGGGTTTTGGGTGCATATTGTGTTGGATGGAACTTGGGGGAGGAGGGCATAGAGAGGAGTTGGCCATGGGCCTAAGGATTCAGGATGCACGGGGTTCAGGTTGAGGGCTGAGGCTTGGGTATTGTCCTAGCTTGGTCACAGCACAGTGGCTTTGATGGTTTGGATGCGGTATGCTACCGTTGCAACTACAAGTTGTGGTGGCTGTTTCTAGCAGGTAGCGTGGGCCGCCTGAAAGTTTCGGGGTTCAAATACGTTGGAGGGAGTTACAGGTGCATGTTAACCTGGTGGTATCTTTCAAACATCACCTCACACAAAACTCTCCTCTTCTTCAGATTCGCTGTGAGGCCTGTACTACATGTACCGTTTTTGACCACTGTGACCTTGTCATTGTATTACCGCTACACCCTGTTTGTGTTCTCCATGCCCCCTAAGCGCCATGTTATCCTCATACGATGTCATGAAACCCCACGCCATCTCTGAACAGCCCGTGCGGAAATCATACATCCTGTGTATCAGATACATCATAAAGGTGTTTCTCTACATGTGTATATATTTTGCTAAAGCGAACATGTTTCTTTACAGAAGTTCTGCCATGTCGGTGTATGGACATACATGTCTACATATACACAGGGATTCACACTTCCATAGCCCCGCGGAAGGAGCGCCCCGTCCTAAACTAACCTGAAGTCAGATCAGGCCTTCTTTGTAGACTATACCTTCGAAGAGGTGCTCATTCTTGGGGGAATCTATACTTTGTGATATTTTTGCAATAACTTTTTTGCAAATCCCCTAGACCTTGCGTATTGTGATAAGGGCGTTTATAGTAGTTCCTCAAGGCCACCTCAAAGAATTTCTAGGGAGCTCAATGATGTCGTTGTCCTCGCTACATATCCCGGATGCCTCCCTATAAACCCTACACCTTAGAGACCCTAAACCCTATAAACCCTAAGCCTTAGAGAACCTAAACCCTATAAACCCTAAGCCCTAAACCCTCCAGGAGAGGCTCTTTTATGCTACTAACAGGCACAGGTTCACACAGCCATCCTGGCGGTGCATCCGGCGCCCGTGGGTGCTGGTCTTGAGGCTTGAGGCTAAGGATGCAGACCAGGGTTGAGTGGGTTGCTGTTAAGGAATTTAAATAAAGTTACCATACTGGGTATGTAGGGTCATGACACGCTGTTTATTACAGTATAATATTCTAGTAGAGTATGTACTGGGGTTCTATAGGGATAATGGAAAAGAAAGTGGGAACTACTATTTAGGATTCTGGGTGTAGGGTTTAGGGTTATACTATCAGACCATAATTCCGTGTTTAGGTGTACAGGGTCATGCAGGGTTTGTCCATCAGCAGCTACCTGGACTTCCCGAAGGGTTCAGAAACCAATTGTTGACGCACCCCAAGCCTTGATGGATGCCGTACCTCTGTAGTCTCCTTAGATTTTTTTTACTTTCTATTATGGTATAACCCTAAAGAATTATCTAGGGGTTTAGGGTTTAGTTTCTATTATGGTATAACCCTAAGGAATTATCAGAACTAGTATTGTCATGATAGGTCTAAGGGGACTACAGACCTAGCTAAGCTCTTCACAGGCACACGTGAATGAAGAGGGAACCATTATTACAGCTGTAGACCAAGCGGGGGAGTACATGTGGAGATGCATGACTTCCATGCAGCGTCTGGTTGCTGGCTTCAGATAAGGCTTCAAGAAGTGTTGCTTAGTATGGTGTTCTTATAGTTTCAAATTCGGCTTCAGTGATGGAAGTTCATAAAAAGAGGAAGAGACTGGAAACCTGAGCAAGCTGTGGAGTCACGCAGCTCCAAGCAAGCCCTTTCGGGTGCAGATAGTTCTTACAAAAGCGCGTAGAAACTTCTGTAGCAAGCAAGTAGGGCGAAGCTCAAGATGATCACGTAGTATCCTATAGTCCCCTCTGACAGACAGTACTGATAATACCAGTGTTACGTACGAATCTTTGACGCTACACGGCTACACTGCTAGTATACCTCAGGTCTAGGATCGGCTCATAGATCCTACAACCACTCTGTTGTTACATGTGTATTTCAAAAACTATTGGATCTGAGATTCTTGGGACAGCTGAGGTCAGCTTTGTCTCAGGGCGCGGCTATGTGCTGGAGTCCTTTGGCATGCGATCTAAGCGATTTTCTCCAAATGATGGGGCGTTTCTTGAAGTATTTCGTGGTATGTGCTGCGCTCATTGAATGGGATTTGGCGTCGTCAGTCATCATGGCTAATTACCCGAGGTTGGTGCTAGATTGGGAAAAACCCAATATCAGAGAGAGGGTGGTCACCTAGGGGGCAGCAATAAGCCACTTGGACTGAGTATCACCCGCCAGGGAAGCATCCCACAGGCGTCTGGCTGCTGACATCGTAGGGCCTCAATACCTTTAAGCCCTCCCCCTAATGAACCATCCCCCAGCCCCGTGATAATAAGCACCCCCAAGATAGTAACATTCTAACAACAGTAGGTTTGTGCTTCTTGGAAGGGGGAGAGGATTACTTCCCAAAATAGTCAGGCGTCAAACCCAAAGACTAAAGTTGCTTGTGAATGGCATTCCTGTGATCTCCCTGCTGCGTTCATGCTGGGTTTCCCCTGCCCACTTGTTATGCTAAATCCTAAACCCTTTTCAGGAAGTTCAGGGGCTTCCGAGTTTTTCATTGACAGGGATGGTATGGTGATTCGAGCATGGCTATTTATTACCTCAGTTGGGATTCCATAGAGCTATTGAAAAGGACTTGTTGACTTCGTCGCTCCGCGAAGGTCCAACAAGGAGCACCATCTACAACTCAAATGATCTCAGATGTCTTGTTCCCTGCCTGCTGCTTCTATAGTAGTTACGGTATGAGGAACGTCACAGCCGTGACCAGGTTTGCAGTCAGTACCGGCGAGCTTCACTCATGAGCAATCCTGACTCCAAAGCTGTAAGCTCGGAGTTTCCAACCCTATTCCCAGAATTCGGGGAGCTAAAAAGCCAAGCCACAAGACCTAAACCCTGGGGGATGTGTCAGCCGTTTTCCGTGTGCGATCCCGTACTCGTCAGCCCCTAGCCTGCAGCTAGCAAATACCAGTCAGAGGGGTTACCACAAATAAAAAAAAAACAACGACCCATCACTGAAAGTTCCAAGAGGGTTTCGGACTTCCATTGATGTCAACTAATTACCGAGCAATTGGGCATAGTGAGAAGAATGTTTGAGATGCGAGGCAACAATCACAACAGCACTGTTTTCCGCAGTTTGAATATCAATGACATGTATGAACCTTCAGCCACGCTGCAGGACTGAGCCACTTCCGTAGGCTCGCCGTAGGCTTCAGTTTTAGCAGCTTTCTTTTCCCTACTGCTTTCCATGCGGAGGCCTCTTCCAGATTTTCTGCGGGCCCCTGTCGCACGGTACTCGTGTCACACATCTTAAAAATATCTTAACCTTAAACCCCAAAATCCAAATCCTAAGCCCTACACCCTAAACATCCCTAAACCCCAAACCGTAAACCTCGTATGTACTCCACCCTGAGCAGCAGTTGAGGTCCATCAACGAGCAGCCGGGGCAGAGGGGCCTCGAAGTAGGAGACCTTCTCATTGAGGTGCTTGGCAGCTACATTTCTATGAAACTGTTTTATAACTACTGTATAGTTAGAATGTTAAAGCTATAGTTATGTTACTATGTAGTTTCAATATTAAAGATACATTCTATTATTGCCTAGCCGTTGTCTCTTTGTGTCTTGTGTGCGGGTACACTTTTAACCTAGTAGATGCATGTGTTGTACACATGGGCACCCTCTGGCGGGCTTAAGGCCCATACAACGCGCCCATGCTTGCAGACTTGTCCCTACCTTTTCTTGGGCCACTTAATTCCATGCGTGGTTTCAGCGCCACACATTTAGGCTGCCAAATGAATAGGGGCAGAGGGTAAGCTTGCTGCGACTTGAGACCACACTGCAAAGGAATCCTTATGATAAGCGCCATCGAAACAGGACCCCTAATTGTTGAAAGCAGTAGAAGACAGAATGTCATCAAACCAGGAGAGAGCACTTGCAAAGTCACTTGCTGCAAGTGGAGTCGTGTCACAGATTGTTAGTCACTCCACACGAGTTTTAACCCCCACCCCTAGTATCAAGTATGTCCCCCAATATACAACCGCTCTCATGAGGGAGATTTAATATTGGGGGTGGGGTGGTGGGGTGGTTTTATATGAAAATGAAAGGATTAATCGCGTACATGGTTTGCACTTAGTCTTGGCATGGTCTTAGCTGGGGCTTGGGGTTGGGACCGCATGGGCTTCCACATTTTTTTCATGCTGACGATCTTGGATAGATAAGGTAGCAGTGTTTACACGAGCTACTTGAGTACTTTGAGTTTCTTGGGCTTCAATATAAACCGCCTTGACCTTGTTGTTTATCAGGACAAACAAGGTCTCTTCCAAACTCCTTACAGTTGGGGCCTTCGTACGACGAAAGAGATTTCAGTGACGACACTACAACAGAACCCCGAAGTTTGAGAAGCCACTACATACTGGAACCCCCACGCAACCCCTTTTGTAGCCCGTGTATGGCCACTAGCAAGGGTCCGCGTTCTTGGAAACGTCCGTCCTTTCCCTGAGCTAACGCAAGGGATTCTGTGTGCCTTCTCGGTGTATCGACTTCCTTGCATAGCTGCATGTTGCCCTAACGATGCCCCGACCTTAACCTGAAATCCAAACCCTAGGCCCTAGGCCTCCGACCTTTGCTATAATGATAATAAGGGATTTTGGTAGCCCCAACGTCCAAACTTAGACCTTATAGCCATCAGCTGAGTACAATAATGAGGTCCTACACAAAACCCAGCAAAAAAATCCTACATAGACACAGTGCCCGTGTCATTTTCAACGGGATTGTCCGTTCCATTCTCCACAGTTCCCATGTATCCCTCTATGTCCCTAAACTCTAAACGCTAAACATCCCCGTGCGTCCCCCATACTGTCCGCATACTGTATCCCCTTGAAAGCGAGCCCTACATCCTACAGCCTAGTCGAGTTAGGGTTTATAGAGTCTATGGTTTTAGGGTTTAGGGTAGGCCCGAACCCCAAACCCTAAACCATCTCATTATCCGTTTGATGTTCTATTTGATTCTCGGTTGTTCCTATTGATATGCCCCTGAAATCCATAAGCCATTTCAAAAAAATGTCCCTCGTATCCCCTTCAAAGGGAGCACTACACAACCCTAAACCCCTAACATCTCAGCCCTCTTACTCTTCATCTGATGTTCCATTTGATTCTCCATTATTCTTTCATATCCGCCTCTGCCTTAGACTCTATGTACCCCCCCCCATATCCACTTTGAACAATCGGAGCCCTAAACCACCCTAAACCTTAAGCCCAGCCCCTAAACCCTAAAACCTTAAGCCCAATCCCTCAACCCTAAACCCTCAACCTTAAGCCCAATCCCTCAACCCCAAACTCTAAAACCTTAAGCCCAACCCTAGGGTCTCAGAGGCTAAGTGTGTGTTTTTCTGTGGAGGTGGCTGGGCGCTCTTTGGCTCTGGCTTCTGAGGTGCCAGCACCATCCTTGTTTGGACTTTTTTAGATTCCAGGGATTAGCTTCTCCTCCCACCCCAATCATAAACCTCCCCCCCTGAATGATACATATTCTCCTGGATATATACTGCGAAGTATTTCGGATTTGGGGCTTTAGTTTTCAAAAGCCGGACAAATCCTAGCCCGCGCGTGTACCAAAGTTCTGCATGGCTTCGATCCTAGCTTGCATTCATCTCCCATTAGAAAGTAGTCTGATGGCCTGCTGCGGCTGGGGCACTTCCGAAGCTTGGAAAGCCTACGCAACAAGGTTTGGCGCTTTGCAGTAGGGTCCAGCTGTTGCTGGACATGTTTCTGTACACTTGTATTGGCATTTGCCACTCCGCAAGCGTACTGGTGCTTGCATGATGGAGAGTCCTTGTAATTATCCTTGTCGTAGAAACTCCCCATCCCCTATTACATCTGCGTTCCCACTTTGCCTGACAGCGCCAGTAAACCACAGGAAAGCACAGGGTTTGAGCCCAGCAGTCCGTAGTAAGGATCTGTAAGGATGAACAGTACAGGCATTATCTTGGAGAGCTTAGTACTCTTGGGCAAAATTGTTTGCCTAAACTACCATCCCAAGCCCAAATCCTGAAACACAAATCCCTGGCCCCTAAACCCTACACCCGATATAGGCGTATTCCTTAACTTTTGGCCGCATAAAAGGATGAGGCTGACGAGGTGCTCTCTGCTGAGCTCAGTACCGCAGCTGAGGTTCATCGCATAGTAGGGCTGAACTAGCTTCAGAAGTTTGATTCGTGCAAGGGACATCTTGTTGTAAACCTATCAACTTTCCAGATTCCCGGGACGTGAATAGCAGGAATGACTAGAAATTGACGTAAGGCTGGGTTTCTGGAGATGTCAAGCTTTTAAGCTTTTAGCAGGAAATCTCGACGTTTACATGACCCGCGGTCAACTTTAAGGTTATTTAAAACAGTACAGCTGGTACGATGTCAAGACCATTGCAAAACAATACGGGGCACCCTGAAGCGATACCCCCCCTGACCTGCAAAACGATACGGGGCACGCTAATTGACTTCCTCCATCCTGCTTTGGCACACTTTCTGAGGTTGGTCCAGATGATTTCTGCCCTAAACCCTAAACCCTAAACCCTAAACCCTAAGCCCTAAACCAAACCGTGTTAGACAGATTCGGGATGGAAGCCTGCACCCCTCAAGTTTTACCCCCCCCAACCAAAAGTCCTTCAACTGCTATGGTTAAGGAGATGGCGTTCGCCTCCGTGTGCTCCGCCCCCCAGCAGCCAGATCTGAATCGCCGGAGGCAGGGCTTCTTGTAATTGCCTTTGCAACAAGATAGAATAACTGTCATGGTAGCTTCAACAATGACCAACCATTACCATGAGTAAGACATGCCTGGAACATACGAAGTCAGCGCACTAGGAGAGCAACGATAGTACCTGGAAATACGTTGCGCATACAAACCAGGTATCCCCCATTAGAAGGATATGTATCTATATAATTACATACATATGTGTATATGTATATACTACATGCGAGCCGAGAGTCAATATCACCTTTAAAGGTTATGCGCTGCATCCAGCAATGGGCTTCGGGCATGAGTTCAAAGGAAGACACAACGTTGCGATGTATGTCCAAGCCACATGGCAGTGCACTCGAGGCTTAGGAGGCAGGCAAAAACCCAGTCGTCGCAAAGGTTAGCATCTTGTCCCGCAATCTACTTACCGGAGCCCCGTAAGCCGTGTAAGGCTTTATAAGAACGATTGGTCACAGTTGGTTGAGAATATGTTTGTCTTGGGCCTTTTGTCTGGGACGGTTGTTCCCAAAATGAAGTGCTTATCATTCGGACGCCCATACATGTCTCACCCCAGGCTCGATGTCCTGCTCATGCAGAGGAGTCTCCAGAGAAGGCTATCTCCTCCCAGGCACTGATGGCACTTTTTCTCACTGCCTGCACAGCATTGTAGAGCTAGAAAATTAACAAAGGAGATTACAGACGCACATTGAACGTTCTGTAGTGGTGTGGATTTGGAGCCCTTCTGTTGAGCATATAGGATGGTTTGCGGCGCAGAATGATTGAATATGGTTTGTGGCAAAAATGTAACCACCAGCTGCTAGACACTTTCGTGTTTCAAAAGAACACTGGCCTTCGAGTCTACTAGCAATGAAGCTACTTTGGAGCTCCGGAGGAAAAGTCAGATTTGCTGCTGGCCATCGGGGCTTGTGGATACGCGCATTCCCTTTAATTCCGGATTTGGTTGGGACTCTCCTTCTTGGACATGACACAGGACCGTTTTCCACACAAAACATATCCGTCCAATTGCCCTGAAGTTTTCACAGTTGATGATAAGCACGTCCCCCTTCCCCCAAAATCGCCTTGTCCCTTGACCCCAAGCATGAATGGCATTCAGCTCATGCAAAGCCTGCTTCTCGCTAGGCTCTATGACGGGCTTGCAAAGGGCAATGTAGGGTGAAGTAGGAGCCTGAATCATCAGCAGAAATCGGTCCGAGACCTCAATCCATATACGCAGACATTCATATGTATATGTTGTATGTATACGAACTCGCACGTAACTGCAAAAATGTGTGCCTACGCATGCAGCAGAAACATACACACTTCATGAATGAATGCTATCTATGTCCATTTGATCCTCCATGTGATTCTCCTTGAAAGTATCCCAAGGCTCTAAACTCCTACACCTTACATTCGATATGGTAGCTTCCGTGTGCCCCAGTTCGGGAGGCCGGAGAAGCAGCCAGTGGATCTCATGATGCCCTGGCTGGTTTCCTGAGCAGTCTCTTTGGAGGCCCTGGAGGAGGAGGGTATTTAGGGTTTAGGGTTTAATTGAGGTTTAGGGTTCAGAGGTTATTTGTACATCACCAGGACAAAAGTTTCGACATACCAGGGTACATCTTATGAGTATCTTTTAGCGCTGAGAGATTTCCAGGCCGAAGGTCCGTTTTATGTGGCCAGCGTGGCGGAGTAATTACGATCCGGGAATAAACTTATACAATTACAAAGTCCACGGCGGAGAGCCTATGCCAGGAGTGTGCTAGGAGTCTACGGGGGGAAAGGGGTTGCCCTTGCCGCATGTAGTGCATTGTAAGCCCGTGTGGCGAACTTTTGTCCTACCGCAGTATATAATGTCCTGCTTTGGGGTATAGAAGCTTTACCTCACTTTTGGAGATGCTCAATGCACAGCGTAGAACCACTCGTGTCCTCCCCAGGTTTTGCATATACACAGATGTACCATAGTATGGGCACATAAACATGCACAGATAGGCACATCTCTGTTTACATACTACATGTATACATACACACATTATGTTTTGTGATGCTTAGCAGGGAAATCAAGTCAGCATGTCTTCGTTCGAGGTATGGCTGATTGCTGGTACTTCTTGTGAGGACGCGTAGGGGATCCGATTGGAAGGTCATGGCATTGTTGCGGCTAACCCTATGTGCAGTAAGCCTTTATCTACTAGTGCTGACTTTTCAGATGAGTAGTTTGGCCCTGGCCCGTTCAAACTTTACTTTCTTCTTTTCATTATCAGCCTTATATAAATTTCCTATAAGTGTGCTAAACTTCCAAACAATTGTTTTTTACCGGCCCTTACAAACGAAAACAGGCCGAAACAAAAATACCAAAGCCTAATCACGCATTCTCGGACCCTAATCACACAGCTTCAGAATCCCCCCATATAGATAGTTGGTCACAGGTTCCAGCTCAACAGGTGGAACGGAGCCAAATCGCTCAGCGGACCCGACACATGGCTGGCAACGTGGTTAACATGCAGCTTGAAGGGTCTTGGGATGTATATCTGCTTGCCCCCCAGGGAGTTGAGACAGATACGCTGAAGGTGTCTGTAAGGTGTCCCCAAATTAAGCATTAAGCCAGAAGCGCCCAGCCAGAGATAAGGCCCTATCATTCCCACTCAGAAGCTGCGGTGCGCTTAGGAGGTTTATGGTTCAGCATAAGAAAAAGATGTAGTTATGACAAGGTGTAACCCAAGTAAGGGTGCCTACAGCTGTACTTAACACCACCTATGTGCTTCCAAGTAACGCTTGCTGGAGGAAGGGCCAAGGGCCCGTGCATCAAGAAACCCCACAGGCTGCAGCTGGGCTCTGCAATTATAGGGTTTAGGGTTGGGGGTTTAGGGTTTGGGGTTGGGGGTTTAGGGTTTAGGGTTATGGCTTGGGGTTTGGGGCTTAGGGCTCCTAATATTGAAGCCTCGTACTCAAGCCCTGCTGGATCGCACCATCTTATTAGTGGGGATGTCATTGGTTACAAGTGACGTTGTACTTGCTCTAACTTGGTTTTGCCTTTTTTTTGTGGGATTTTCCTGGTCGTAGGCATACTTGTGCTATTGTTTAACCCTCAATTATGACGTATAACTATCCAAGAACCTACAAGCATGGGCCAAATTACCTACAGGATCATGCTTTGGTCCCAAATTGATTCTCACCTTGGGGCCTGCGTGTACAATTTGACTGGTGTACTTGGAACTTGTGTGTTCCCAAGCTTATGCCACAGAGCATGTGCATTCATTGTCCGACTTCAGGTTGAGGGGCTCCAGTGCTATTTGGTCAAAGTTGGGTTGAGGGTTCCTGGGTTTAGGTGCCAAATGCGTTTGCATGTCAGATGCAAAGGTGCCAGATTCGACATGCTGTGTTCCTCTTGCCATGGATGACTTGATATGGTCGATTTTTTGGGCAGAAGGAAAGAGCACAGGTAGCTTTCCCTGAGATCAATGGTTACTGCAGGGCTTCGAGGTTTGCACTTTTTGCGTCCCCTCGAGCTCTCCTCCAGATAGCTGTGCAATACAAACCTGCTTGGAGGTGTGTGGGTAGGTATATGGGAGTTTACCCGTCCAGCCTCGGCTGCCAAGCAGACAGTAAGGCATTAGGGGTACATCCCAAATTCCGAGCCCCCAAGCTGAAAGATAAGTGCTGTTCGTGACGCGAGATTTCAGAGGATCCTCCGCAATCCGCGGAACCACCCAATCGACAGACGTCCGATGGGGCTGAGGATGCATCAGAAACAATCTGCTTTTCACGGGGTAAGCGTTCAGGCTTCGGGTGTCCTTCAGGCTGCAGCAGCCGAAGTTCTGTTTGGTGAGTTGAGACTCTGTGTTGGCTGGTTCTGCTAGCGTGAGCTGAGCTTGCTAGCTGCTGGCAGGATCTCAAATGGTAAGCCCGCTTATTAAGGCCTACTTTGCTTGAGGGTAAAAATGGGCGGCATGCTATGTGAATTCCGCCTGGTGATGTTTGGTCCGGAAAAGGCGTGAGTGAGGGATACCACTGCAGCTGCCCTGTTAGCAATCGATAGCTCCAAAAAGCCTTGGGCCATCATCATCATCACCAATACCATGCCATACTACTACTACTACTACTACTACCACCAGTACTACTCCTCCTACTACTACTACTACTACCACTACTACTATTACTACTACTACTACTACTACTACTACTGCTACGGCTACTGCTACTGCTACTGCTACTGCTACTGCTGCTACTATTACTACTACTACTACTACTACTACTACTATTACTACTACTACTACTGCTACTGCTACTGCTAATGCTATTGCTACTGCTATTACTACTACTACTACTACTACTACTACTACTACGACGACTACGACTACTCCTATTGCTACTGCTACTGCTACTGCTACTGCTACTGCTGCTGCTGCTGCTGCTGCTACTACTACTACTACTACGACGACGACGACGACGACGACGACGACGACGACGACGACGACGACGATTAAAGATAATGGTGATGATAATGATAATGCTAATCACCCTATGTTCGATTCCCCTATGTATGGGGCTCACCCACAACATGCAATCTGACCATGGGTCAAACTTCCGGTCGCCCTCAAGTACCAACTCAACAATCTGCCTTAGCATGGACACGGCAAAGCGGCAGTGCTTTTTGACCCATCCTCGTATGAAGTGGTAGATTCCCAAAACAAGGTGACCCCAATATAGACCTCAATATACTATAGTCCTTATTATAGGGACCCCCAAAAAGGTACCCCTAATTGTTGGAAACCCCCAAGTGTCCATTCTGGCTCTCTGGGACAGGAGATTTTGGCTACCAGCCCGAGCCCTTTTGCCTTGGAGCTGGTACCTCCAGAGCTAGACACGGAGGGCTGGCAGGACTGCACGCGGTGGATTGGGCGAATAGGTATTCATCCCAGTTTTAGGCATTTTCATAATCTTATATAGGGACCATCAGCTTAAACAGTTAGATGAGCCGCCCAGCTCTCTGTGCGTGGGGTGATCACAGCTTTGCGTGTTCTGTGAGGAAGTCCATGAGATTTCTCATGGAAGAGAACAGGTTTCTCATTCATATCCACTGTACTTGGTTTGAGGTTTGATTGTTAATCAAGGGTGGGCTCCTTGCACATGGCAGCCCACTGCTTGGTAATGGCGAGATTGCTCCCGCACAGAGATGCGATGAAGGCCTTTTTTGATGATTCTGTAGGCAGAACAACACACCTAGGGCAACTCCGGATGTGAGCACCTCAACCTCCATCCGCTTGGTTCTGACCCCTGCTTTTCTGCCCAGCAGGCGCCCGCACCGTCGCCTGAAGTGGTCCAAGAAAACACACCGGGGCAAGACGCAGCTCAGATGAGCAGAAGTAAGGGGACATGAGCGAATATGTAAATCATGGATGAGAAGGGCCAACAATATGATCAGGAATGACTGCTATGATCAATGTTGCGAAAATGCTATGCTTTGGAAGTCCTAGATTGAAACGTCTAAGTCCGGAACACTCCACAAGGTATCTGTTGCTATGTCTTGGGTCCTCCAGCATCCTCTGTAGCCAGCCAACCCTCGCTTTGTTGAATCAGCTTTCAGCCGGCATTACATATGATGCCTATGAGTTGTCAGAAGCCCGAAAGCTTACATGCACCCCGCATCCCTCTACGTAATGCGCATAAAGCCTCTAGTGACTCTAGTGCTGGCATCACGAGGTGGCTCCGAAACCCGACCCTGAGGAGGACGCGGAGGTGCAAAGTGGAAAAGCATGCGATCCGCTCAAGCGTTGAGGGTTTATGGGTTGGGCTTTACTGGTTCGGGGCCTAAAGGGTTCAAGTGCCCAATAGTCGACATGATTGTGGTACTTCTTGCGCTAGGAGTTGTCCGGCAAAAGGTAAGCCTTGCCCTGTACCCTTGCCGGGGTATGCTTTACCCAGCTTTCTATGACACCATGTGAGCTAGAGTCTAAACTCCTTCAAGGGGGATTATATAGGGAATATTTAAGAGATTATATAGGGGTTCTTAAGGGGGATATTAGGAGTTTAGACTGTGGCTCATATGTTTCAAGGGTGGAGCTTTGCTGAAGAGGGGCTCGGAGAAGGCACACCTTTGCAGCGTTAATGTGGAGCCATAGTCTAAATGAGGTTACGGAGGTTATATACGTCATGACGTAAGGGACTACTATAGGGGTACTAAGGGGGATACTGGGAGTTTCGACCATGGGTCATATGGCCTGCCATCAAGGGTGTTTGCATGATGCTGCATGGTCGGCGCTGAGCTTGCCATGTAAGAGTTAATCTTTTTGGCAACCATGAACATGCCATGGAAATATCGGTGCCCCAACAGAAAGCAAACTTAGCCTGGGATGCTGCTTTTTGAGTGTGAGAAACATTCATGCTCGGCTGTGACCCACAGTTGTTTCCGTCCTGTCTCTGGCAAACGGGAAGGAGGTGATGATCTTTGAGCCTCTCCACTCATCTCGCGCAACCGAGCAGCAAGCGACATGGCTTGGAACAAGCCCCACTTTTGACAAGGGACATCTGTCGGTTTGGTGCTTCTCCTTGTGGTTCCTAGGAGTCGCCAGACATTTCATGGATGCTGCGCCTTCCATAAGGGCTTGAGGTAAAATCGGGGTTTTGTACGACTGACATCAGGGAAACCTGACTTGAACTTGTGTCGGAAGCTGTCGTAACCTACGACCATAGCCGAGCAGGTCGCTGCTTTTGCTCTACACTGCCTCTCACATATTTGGACCCAGGCTTGCTAGTAGAATTTTACAACAAAGATATTGATAAACAGCTTGCTTTCCAAAAGCAGGAATGCTTCCAAGCACACTCAGCCTTGCCTCTAGGAACTGGACGAGGCATGTTGGATGGGCTCCCGAACGCGTTTTGCCTGGGCAGTCATCACAAGAACAAAAATATGGCAGCTCTTGCATTCAGTTTTTTTACAGAGCAAAGACAGGATTCTACGAGGCGTTTCATAAGTGGACCCTTGTGGGTTACTGACAGCTATTGGATACTATTGGTCAGGATATGTTACCGAGCTTTGGCCCACTCGTCAAACGAACGGCTTTGCCATCATGGGTTGAGCGGACCATCTACGTAGGAGTTTCTCAAACATGCAAGTCCATTTCTCATAAGTTCTTTGCAGCCCTATGTAGATGAGAGGCGCAGCATTTTCAGAAGTTTTCCTGTCGAAGAGAAACTTTGGGCCATCCCCAGGGAGCTTCTCAAGAATGTTTTCTGCAATCTTGTAAGAGGTACCCAGGCAATTCATTTGTAGTCCCCATATATCCCTCGGGTCCATTGGGGCACCCCAAGTTTCAGTAGCCGCCATGAGACGCAGGATGCGCCAGCAGAGTCCATGCCTGAGCTACCCGGCCTAATGAGAGCTTGACACAGCACACACACATACATATATATATATATACACATTTATATATAGATAATGAACATGAGCTATGCCTGACCTGACTACTGTCCAAGCATATGGAGCCGAAATGGATTTCCTTGAAAAAAATGTTACATTGCCATCAGTTTCATCCAAGGCCTGCAGGTGGAGAGGCAACCCTGCATAAGCTTTGCATTAGAAGTTCTGACCATTGTATACATCTTGGCATATTTTGTGTACACTGCACTCCTCAAATAGTCCTTTACCTTTGCCAAGTGCTCCAGGGTGGTTAGTTCTTAGTTCCTGCTAAAACAAAAGCAGACTGCACCTCAGGCAGCCCGTATAAGCGTTACCCTAGTCGCTTCTGCCAAATCTTAAAATGGTTCCTCGCCCCCTTCTCGTTCTCACTCCTCGCTAATAACACACTTGCCAGCCTGAAGTAGCGTTTAGTATTAGGCAAGGCCAGTTGTTGAACAACACATTGGATGAGACCGACTTTCTTTGATAGCAATAAGCTTTTAATCACTTCTGAGTGAATTAGAGATTGAGGGCATCCTTCGACATGAGCTCGAAAAAATCCTATACACCAACAAACCCCCAAATTTTCATTCCCACTACATCACCCAATGCATCCCCTTGTGACCTTAAACTCCTAAGCCCCTGGAACCTGAACCCAAAACCCTAAACCTGCCTGCCCCCCCCTCCCCACTCAAACTTGTCTTTGAGGGTAGGCGGGCGCTGGTCGAGCGCTCAGCTAGACCCAGCAAAGGATGAACGGGCCTCCAGCCTGGCTCCCTCCAGGCAAGCTGAGGCCGAGTCAGCAATTGTCCTTGGCCAAAAAAATTGGCAAAAGCCTAATTAAAAGCTTTCCCTGGTTTTATCCCTCTTGGGGGGCGGGTTTCGGGGGTTGCTGGGAGTAGCAGGCTGTTGCCCCAAAAGGTGTCAAATCCAAAGCGGCCCGCCCCGCCCTCCAAAGGCCTACACCCAAATAGGGGCTGGTGCCTCCTAAGTCCTAGGCCCTCTCCCTGCCTTGCAGGGCTGCCAGTTCTTCTATCAAAAGGGCTTCCATGTTGTTTTGATGGGCCTCTGAGACCCTGAGTCCGGTGCGGGGACAGGGTTATGAAGTCATGCCCATCTTGCAGACTCCTTTTGAGCTTGTCTCCCCCCGTCCCGCCCCCCAGAGTCGTAGAAGTTCGTGCAGGCAGCACATGCGAGCAAGGGCGGGCTGGCGCTATGAGAGCCAGAACATCCAATCACGCTAGCTCTAAATTTGCTTGGCAAAATACTCAGCCAGATCTGGCGGCAGCTCACATGAGCCGGAGCCATCTTTGGCCGATCTGGATCGTCACGAAGCGCAAACCCGAAAGTCTTGTTAATACTAAAGCCTAAACCGAAACTATAAAACCTAAACCCCAGGCCGAACCTTAATGCACAAACCCATATCCAAGGTCTTCCCCTCCTCTTCCGGCTCTGGCCTGGTCCAAGCGCGCGGACCCGGCCGAGGTGCAGGGAAGCCTAAGGGTCCATAGGGTTTCGCGTGTAGACTCATAATTATATAGGGTTTAGGGTTCAGGGTTATAAATATATGGTTTAGGGTTTGGGGGTCATGTTGGGATTAAGTTGGATTACATAAAGGTTTGGAGTTCCTGCCCCAATAAAAGACAATCACATGAAGCAACACGGAAAATCAAATGGAAGCTGGGAGGTTTATAGGGATTAGTTAGAGATTCATGAGCTTCTTAACATTGAGTCCCTTGGAAATCTCAGGGATTACAACGGGATGATGGAGGGGATTTTGCAGGGTGTAGGGAGCATTTGAGAAGCACCCCTGTCTCAACGCAGGGGTATTCGTTTTTGCTGCGCGGTTTGGTTTAGGAATTCGTGTTTAGTGATTAAATCTAGTGCTTGAGGCTACGGGTTTAGGATTTCTTGGTTGCGCGAAATGATGTACCCATGCGGATCGTGCAGGGGCTAGGCCCGCTAGGCGAGATGAACGGATTGTAGGGTTTAGGGTTTCGTGTTTAGGGTTTAGGATTATATTTGGCTCAGGCTCGAACTTTGAAGAGTCGCCCCAGGTCGTTCAGAGACTTTACAGTGTTGTGTGGACAGCGTGGGGTGGTCCCAAAAGTCCCAGGCAGCCCTTCTAGAGCAATTTAGCATTCGCTGCCGTGTGGGCAGCTTGTCCACGGTGACCCCAAGACCCTGAAGCCAAATCTTTTCACCCAGGATGACACATCCTCCATTTGCCCCAAGGTTGCACATCCAGCCAGACATCTTACATCCGCCAGATTCTGCAATAGGCCCTACGAGCTAAGTGCCAGGCTGATGCGGTGGACAGTCAGAGTGAAGTTTCTGCATCGCGCAGCGAGATGGTAGTTGCTCTTGGGCAGCATTGAACCCCAGTTGAGGAACGGTCAACCATCTCGCTTCCCTTTTTGCGGGTCCTCATCGCAAGGATCGTCTTCAGGGATTCATAGGAAGGGTCCCAAGGTTGACCAGCAAAGGCATTTCAGAAACTGGACATGGATCGCAGGGCTTACTAGACCGGTCGAGATTAATCCAGCTTCGGAGTGTCCTGACCTAGTCGCAGCTTCTTTGACAGTCGCCAGTCCGGCGCTGGGTTGCAGCAACTGGCCCAGCCCCAGCAAAGATACCCCAAAACCCGAGACCCAGCAGAGAGAGCGCGAAGCTGTAAACTTCAAGAAAAGGAAGCATAATCCCAAGACTAAGGCCGCCGCGCCACCACTTCCAACACTGGCAGCACCAAGCACGAAGCGAGCCTTGCCCTAGTTGCAGGTAGGTGGGAGGAGCGTCTCAACATCAGGGTCACGCGTGCTAGGTTCCTTGCTGGGGTATCCGCTGAAAAATCTTCAGGCTTCCTGCCAATGAAGCCTTTGCGATGGTGGTCCAAGGGTTTGAGGTGGACCACTGCACACATTCAGCAGTAGGTGTCTTGGGGCCACGGTTCAGGACTATAGTCTTGAGGCTGGATGACCGCGAAGGCATGCTTAGCATATCATGCTTCGTTGGATCTTTGGCATGGAGTCACGGCCAACAGAGTTGCATGCGGGTCTTATCAAAGTCCAAACGTTGAGCCACAGACGTATGTACGTCATCGGAGAGCTGTGGATTTTGCCCGGTCTTCACACCCTCGGAATTCCAAGGGCTGGACATCCGAAATATCATCTGTTCAAGTTGTATCTCCATACCATGAATGATGTTCCTAGGATCATTTCCGACTAGCATCGCGGATTGAAATCCACTGTACCCCCTGCACCCTCAACCACATACAATCTCTGACAAGCCTAGTTTGAGCTACTGTCCGAGTCATCTGGGGTGCGTGCGGGGTGGACATCGGGTTCTCACAGTGATTCAGTCCCATGTTTGCGATCTGATGCTCAACTGATTAGCCCTTTGGGTAATATTGGGAAAACATAGGGTATTGTAGGGATACTGGAAAAGAAAAAAGAAAATGGAAACTTTAAAAGATCATATGTAATATGTTTGGGTTGTGGCTCATATGACGTGCTGAAATGCCAAGGATCTTCGACAGCGGCTGGGCCGCGCTGCAAGGTTTCAGAGCTTAGAGCCCCACGGCCGCAACCTAACCTGTGCTTTACAAGAATATCCTAACAAAAACCATAGGGTTTAGGGTTTAGGGTTTGGGGCCTTTGTACAGGGGTTGCATAATAGGTTTGTAACAGGATGAGCTATGTACATAGATTAGGCAGGGGCTGCGCAACGTTTCAGCCGCGTAAAGCGTTGGGATCCTGGACTGTTGTGTTGCAGGGGCCCCAAGTCCGGGCCCTGCTGCTTTGAGGATGGAAGAAAGGGTTTAGGGTGCTGGCTCCGTATCTGCCATGGGCCGAGGCATGAGAAAGAGTAGTGCTCGGCAACATTGGCTGGGGACATTAAGAGCATCGCCTTCACGATCACTTAATCAAAGGCCCAACCGGTGAATCTCAACAGAAGGGGGTCATTAGATGCCACTGGGATCCAAAGATTGCTGCTGCTTACGGTGTAATTTCTGTCTTTTGGTCAGCTGGCAATACTATGCACTCTGAAGTTGTAGGCCGCTGCAATAATACTAAGCCCTATATTCGATATGATGATTGGAAAGGGCAATCATAAGTTGAGAGTAAGTGAGGGATGGACAAGCAATCGCAATCCTTTAATGTCGGAGGTACGCGGAGGGTGTCCCTGTACGCCCCCTTGTTTAGCCCTTTGTAGGGGTATCTGTGATATGGCATCAGTAAGGCCATCTTTCAGAATTTCAAAGGTTTTCAAGGGGCAGGCCTCTTCCCTTATCATTTTATGATTATGGGCTTATCAAGCTTGAGTTGGGCGTTCTTCTTGTTTCGTCTATGGCCCGTCGAACGGTTGGACCTTGGTGATTTTCAGCAACAACTTCTACGTATTGGTAGTGTGGGATAAGGGAATATAGTCCCTATGTAAGCCCCACATGATATATGCTCTTGTTCCGTGCTGAGCCCCAGTAAGTTTATTTCTACACCCCAAAAAACGCCAAAAGCCGAGGACTGGTTAGAAGAATTGCGCTGCTCGTCACACAGCCGAGGTTTGAGGATTCTTGAGATGTTATGACGAGAATGACTGGTATTATCATGAGTTATCAGGAGTATTCTTATTACGATTGTTGTTACTACTACTGTAAGAGCTATAGTGCGTATCCCAGGTAGGAAGCTTCTTGCATCTTGCAAATTAAGTTTCAGGCATCGATTTGGGTTTCAGGCCATGGGCCCTAAAACCCCAAATCCTAAGCCCTAAACCTTTTTGTCTACCCGCAACTTGGGAGGAAGGTCGGGATGAAAGGCGAGCGTTTTAGATAGGTTGGAGAGACCCGGATGGCCAGGGGACTAGTAGAAGTCTATTTCCTTCTTCGGTCCTACTTGCCCTACTATTACTCAAGTGAAGCATCGGCCTTTGGCCGTCAGTTTGTGAGTGAAGTTTGGGGCTTGGGATGAACTTATGTTTTTTCTCGTCGACTCCCGTCAACAGATGTTCAGTTTGCGGTCTGACGTGCTCGGCATGCTCGGACAATACCTCGGCCTTCTTCCTTGTCCTTTTCTTGTTTTGGCTCAGGGACGGCGATCACAAAAACTGGCAACTTTACATTACATGTTAACTATGTCATTGAGCCCCACACCCGTTAACTCCTAAACGACAACCGCGAACTCTAAGCTGTTGTGGGGGCAGGAGGAATTACTCTCTGAAGTAGGCTGACTTCCTCCCTTGCACATCCTGAAGCATAATGTATGAATGTATGAGGATCATTGTGTTTCGCTGAGGCCTTGAAGAATACCTGGATGCTGCTTCCACCTGGCGCCTTTGATTTGAGTCAGGGCGTTCTACGCTGATGGGGGGGGTGGTTGTCAAAATTATGTTTTCCTGTATCCCGCCTATCAGGGAGCCGTTGGGCTCAGGGACTGAGCCAGGGTCAGAATCAGGGTCAGCTGAGGCATATAGGATAAGGGGTTCGCCATTAGTGACAGAGGCAGGGCTAATTTCGATGTTCAATGTTATAGAGTGTCATGGTTTCGCAAAGTCAGTATATACAGAGATGCTGGACTCGTATGTGCCTTGGAAATGGTTTGGCTACAAGGGCCCTTGGTGCCAATTGCCTTGAGCAGGGACGCCTGAATAATGCAAGTTCAAAGCAAGGAAGCACTGGGAGCCCCTATGAAAGGGCTTGACAGGATTGCATTGGGGAACGCCTGCAAGCAACGCTTCTCGTTGCAGCAGCCAAGCTTCCCAAATGATGAGTGAGCAATTGACCATGCCTGTCCTTGGCAGGGTTTGCATCGATTTTAGGTGCTGCCCAAAGTGCTCATCACCATTCAGGGATCCTGCAAATGAGGTTTTTGATCCTTTGAGTCTTTGATGTGGCTGAGTATTTTATATTTTGGGTCACAATTACTATCCGAGTCGCATCCAATTTCCACAAAGTGGGATGAGATCCCGACTTGCCTGAATTTTCTAGCACATACTCAATTGCCTTTGTGCTTCGAAGAAAGCAAGCCTGAAAGAACGACCTCCCTCCAAGCAATCTCTACATGGAAGTTTCTGAACGCGAGCTTCGCCCCGGATGCGCCGCGTGACATGTGAAGATCTCAAAGAGATCCATAACCTTGACATTTCCCAGACAATTAGAGTCCCTCCCTGACAGACACGCAAAAGATATCGCTCAAGCAGAAGGTGCGCAGAAATGGGCGCTGTTTCTTTGGAAGAAATTGCAGAGAACATCGAAGAGTTCCTGGGAACAACTTCCGAGGGCCAGGTTTCAAAAGATGGTTCAACTGAAGGCAGACTAGTCCGTTATACACGTTCCAGGAGTGCATCATTCTGCCATGACTTAGTACATTTCAGGCTTCACGGGCGTTCTTTGTTGGAGGCGTGTACATGGGGCTGCTGAGAACTGTTCAGAGGGTTATATACAATTGCACGTTTGTTGCAGAAGAATTGGGTTTTGAAAAGGTAGTTGTTATAACATTGCTGCTGTTGTAGGGGCTTATGTTGTCTGCTACTGTTGCGTCAGATAGACCTTTCAGTGCCTCGCTAGCCTGCGCATTTTCCTGAGAGTGTGACGACTTGGAGGTCATGAGTAGTTGTAAGCGGCAACAGAAGAAGGGCTTCGTGAGTTTCGCTTGTGGCAAATTACTTGGGACATTCAAGCAGGCTGCTCTTTGCTAAGGTTTGGTGTCGACGTGTCCTTGAAACCCATTGAGAGGCAACGAGTGCAGAAATGGGCAGCTTGTCTGAAATTTGTGGGTGTGTGCCAAATTGTAGTCAGTCAGGGTTCAGGCTAGTAAATCGGCATGTTATGTTATGGGCAGAGTTTCAGTAGCGTACCAGGCCCCTCAATAATACTGCTGAGCAATGTATATGTACACATATATATATATATATGTATTTGTGATATATGATAAGTATCTATTTACTTATCTTATGTATATACATATACATACATATGTGGAGGGTTTTCTTCATCGTTGCAAGTGAGCATGAATGCGTCCTTGTGAGTCTGTTCATGGTGTCGCAGGAGCTTCTCAAATTCCGGGTGGCAAACACTTACAAGCCTAGCACCAGCGAGCCCGAACCCGGCCAATTTGGGATGGAGTTGCTTTATAAGTAGTCCTTACCAGCTGAAAACCGAGTTCAATGATTAAACCATTGTTTCCCTGCTTACCATTACCAAGGAAATTCACAGCTACAGTTTGTTCAACTTTGTTCAACCCCTGTAATACGCTTTCTTCTAACAGTCGTATGGTCCCCGCACATGCGGCATGAGCCCGCAGCTCTAGGCATGAAACAAGATCCTGAGCCAGAGGCCACCCTTGTAAGAGTTGCTCATCAACCACAAGCCAGCAACGCTACATCATACTATATGTTATCCTAAAACCCCTAAAGCCTAAACCCTGCACACTAAATCCGCCAACTTTCTTGGGAGGTGTTGCTCCTCAGCCTCAAGCCTTCAATGTCCAGAAGTTCATCCAAAACAAAAACATGCTACATCCAAATATCGAAAAGCAGCTTTAAGAACAACACCTCGTCACACTTGCGTTGATTCCCCGCGAGCTCCACACATCCAAATAAACATTCCCGGCATACTGTTTCAGGATGAATAATTGGAATGTTTGTTTATCAGGGGGAGAGGACCGGTTTGTGACTCTGGGAACAGATTAACTCACATCATTTGCTGCTGAGCGGACTTTGACCCACTCCTGCGTATCTAGGAACGACCACTGCAAAGCATTAGTTCCTAAAAGCCACACCACACGAAGCACTACATTATGTGGTGCTCTCCATCTTGTCGTACAATTCCCCATTCTCTAAGCCCTGAGCAATGTGGTGTGTGTGTGGGTGTGTTTTTTTTGTTTTTTGTACGTTCTTTTCCATGCCCCAAGTGCCTACAAACAACCAGCACGTAAATCCCAATCCTGTATATTCTCACGAAACCACTGTTTTCATTTCGTGTTCACTTTGTTTCTCTACACCCAGATGCCTAATTAGTCACTCTTCTCCTTCCGATTGCACCGGCGCAGACTGATGAACGTCTTAGAAGTATTCAGGTTCAAGCCACCTTGTACAGGTAAATCTTGAACATGGACAAGACGGACATGCTATAAGTTTAGGGGTGAGGTGATGACACAAGTGCAGTTAATTTTGCAGATGGAATCCCAGCCAAAGCAACGTTGCAAGCAAACTAGCTATTCAAGCTTGCTCGTGCTTGTGGTTCTCCCCGCCAAACTAGCCATCACTGCTTGAAAGGCCTTACCTGAGACGGCGCATGCTAGACTGCAGCTTTTGAGGAGAAGTTACCTGTTAGCTGAATTGGAAGGCTAAAGTCCCTAAGTTCATGTCTAGTATCGTTCTCGCGCTCACCTGCGGACTTGGTTCCCTTGCCTTGGAATTCGGCACCTTCAGATCATTGGTGCATGGTTCCACAAAAAACGCCATAGCTGTATGGGTATGAGGGCCTGAAGGCTCATCGGAACTGAGGTGCGGGGGACATCCACAAACGATCTGGTTTAAGATTATGTCTCATGATTATGTGCTATTCCTGTACTGCTAGACTATCCAGTCCACAACGCCGAAGATAGGACGGACTGTGTAGGATTATGCAGTTAATCAATATGGAGGGCTTCCGTAGTATAGTGTTTCTCAATTCCCTACTCTACCTTACAAAGCACAACACGCTCTATTTTCTCATTCCGGGACATATCTCTACGTACCTCTATAGATGCCTACATACCCCTGTGCACTTGAACAAGGCGTGACCCTGACCCCATGTATCCCCATGTATTCTCATACATTCCTCTAAATCCCCAAATATCCCTACATATCTTTCTCGATATCCCTACATATAGCTATGTGCCCCTTATACCCTTATACATCCCTACATATCTCCTTCTATATCCCTATCTATCCGCTTATATCCCTACATATCCCACACATTTTCCTCTATGTTCCCAATTTACTTACTGCGGGTCAGTAGGGGATAGGCGAAAATAATATCTGGGGATTAGACAGGGATTGTAGTCCTTTATTTCCCACAAACCCGACGCTAAACCCTGAAAATTAAACCCTAACGCTAAGCCCTAAACCCTAAACGTTAACCTCTGAACCCTACACCCTGAACCCCAAATGCTAGACCCTATTCTATGTTTCTCCAGTAGGTTAAGCCCCCTAAACCCTCAACCCTAAACTCTATTCCTAAACCCTAAACCCCCCCAAAAAAACCCTAAACCCTAAACCTTTGTGACAGCCAGAAAGCTGGGCTGAATCTAGGGTTTAGAGGACGCTTCTGCACGATTTGTGCCT